TGACTTTCTTTTGTCATTGACCTGATGTTCCAGAGTCGGGGCTGGCTGAGACACTTGCTTTCCCTGCTGCTGTCCCTGGGTACCACTTCTATCCTTCCCTCAGATTTGCAGAGGCTGGGGAAGGGTTGAGGTTGAGATGGAGGGTTTCCGCTCATTTCAGCTCAGGGTTACTAAGTGACTTAGTCTCTGCGTGTGACAGCTGGTGAATCAGAATCTCCTGAGAGGCTCTGTCTAGATCAGATCTGACCATGGACAGCAAGTGAATGACAAGCCATCCCCTGCTCGCTCTGGGCTGACACGGCAGCTGAGGATGCTGTTAATTTTGCTGTTTACTGAAAGAAGTCCGGGGTGAGTGGAGGCTTTTTTGGTGTTTTAAAGCCAGATGGTATTTCCTGCCTTGATCAGCCTCGGAGCTTTGGTTCCCATGGCAACTCTGAAGTTCCACCTACTGCAACTTCCTCATTCTCTGAGCTTCTTCCTCTTCCACCATAGTGTCAGGGGCCCAGGAGAATAAAGCCATTAACTAGTTTGTGCTTTGCACTTCACAGCTGACACTGTGATCCAGCTCCAGCGTTTATGACCTCACTCCTCCCTGCAACCTTGCCACAGAGCATCTGCTGTCTCTCCGCTTCGCACAGGGAAACCCAGGCTCCAGAGACAGGTGATCTGCTCTGCTTGCCCTCACTGGTGTCAACAGGACTCCAACCAGGTCTCCCGTCTCTGGACCTAGAACGGGATGAGCACATCCTAGCACTCCCTCTGCTGTGCTTACAATTCCTAAGTGGCAAACTTCCTATGTAAGTTGGGTCCAAATCGAGGTGTGGCATCTCCACCAAGTTAACGTCTCTGAGCAGCATCCCTTTGCTGCAGAATGGTTATAATGGTATCCCTGGAAGGGTGGGGGAATTACAAATGGATACATATATAACCACCGTGCGTGCCTACTGGATTTGAAGGAGACCTAACATCACCCTAATTACCTTTTGACATTGGTCATGATGTTGTCATCTACAGATGTGCTGGCCACATTCATAAACATGTGATGCATGCAGCCTGCAGGCCACAGGGGGATGTCTGTCAGAGGTAACAGCAAGCATAAAGTGAGAGCTGTACACGATTTCTCATGATGCAATGGACACACACATCCCTGGGGACCTTACAGGGATTTCACTTCTTATGGATGTCCTGGGGAGTAGACCCTACTTCAAGTAGCAATTCTGCAGCTTATGAAGCGCTGTGCGAGTGTTCTGAACAGTTCATTGTGCAGAGAGGCATGGTCAAATCTGTAGAAAATGCTGGAAGCTGAAGGGCTGTCTAGGAGTGTGGGCAGGAGCCAGTGTGAAGTATTCCTCTAGGTATAAGATTGCCAGAAGGGCTCCCAAGGCTGCTGCCCAGGTTCCACACATCCTGAAACCTCGTGGGGCTTTGGCAGCAACTGTGTCCATCCTTGGGACACTCAGTAGAGGATAGAAAGATGTCAACAGGCCATATCCTGCATGACAAAACACACTCATTGATAATGATGTGGCCAAATCTTCCCAGCCAAAAATTACTTTTAAAAAAGTCATCCTTTCTCCGGAATGCCAAAGGACGAATTTAAGCTCACAGCAGAAGGGGGAGTGGAGCCAACAGCAGGCACCTGGTGTTGCTCTGCCTGGCAGTTTTCTTTGCTCTGTATTCTGTATGACTGTGGTTTGCAAACTGAATTATGTGCATTAAGTTAATTGCTATCCAATTAACAAATATTTTCCATTCTTTCTTGCAATCAATCTGGCTGGTACATCCCATAACCCAGCTCTTTTGCCTGTCCCCAGCTCCGTGTTGGTCAGCGTGATGCTGACAAGTGGCTGATGAATAGTTCATGTAGCCTGACCCCAACCTGACAGAGAAAAAAATGACCAGGAGTTCCAGTGTAGGAATGCTTTCCTTGTGAGGAGCCCTCAGACTGCCAGTAAAGCTCCACACCTGCCCCTTGAGCAGGACTGTCATTATTCTAGAGGATGACAAGCAAGGCAAGGACTTGGCTTGGCTCCCGGGGATTCCCAAGTGCCTCTGACGATGCTCTGGCCTCGGCAGATGAGCCTGCATCCCAGTTCCCATGATCCCTAAGGACACAGTAAAGTCAGCTTGCCCAGTAGCTTCATTCACAAAGCCTTACACCTCTGAGCTCTTACCACTGATTCTCCATGCTAACCCTCCTATTCTATGTGTTCCAGGAGGCAGGCTCTAATGTAGACTGGCTATGCTGTCTAGTTTTATGTCAACTTGACATAGATATTGTCATCTGAGGGGAAACTTCAATTAAGAAAACATCTCCAGAAGATTGGGCTGTAAGTGGACAAACCTATAAGGCATTTTCTTAACTAGTGATTGATGGTGAAGGGCCCTGCCCATTGTAGGTGGTGATAACCCTGTGCTGGTGGTCCCAGTTTTTATGAGAAAGTAGGCTAAGTAACCCACGAGCAAGCCAGGAAGCAGCACTTCTCCATGGCCTCTGCTTCAGCTCCTGCCTCCAGAGTCCTACCCTGTTTGAGTTCCTGCCCTGAATTCCTTCAATGATAGACTATAATCTACCCTCCAGCCTTTGGTTTGGAACCTGATCTGCCAATGGACACGTGTAGACAGGGAAACAAGACTAGGTGACAAGGGAGGTATATTGGGGACCGAAAGGCATGTGAGGGGCTATAGAATCCCCAGGCTGGGCCTCAATGGCTGAACAGATCTTTAAACGGCTAATCTTGCCTGTGACAGGTTCTGAGCCCTACATTCATCTGCTGATGAGCAGAGACAATTGCTCTACTGAATGAGCCACAAGTTAGCTGAGAACTGCAGAAACCAGAGGGTATGGAGCATGGTGATGCTACTTCAGGGAATATTCTCAATGCAGGAAGGGGGCTCACTAGCCCATTCTGAAGCATTTGCTGTACAGGGCTTTGGGGACTCTGGTTTGAGACTCTCAGTATACGTAAGCCCCTCTGAAAAGCAGCCCATGTATATGACAGAAAGTATCTCAAAGCAGGTACAGATCTTGTTTGTTTGTTTCTGGAGGCAGGGTTTCTTGGTGGTAAGCCTGGCTGTCCTGGAACTCACTCTGTAGACCAGGCTGGCCTTGAACACAGAAATCCACCTGCCTCTGCCTCCCAAGTGCTGGGATTAAAGGCATACACCATCACTGCCTGGCTAAGGTACAGATCTCTTAAGAGGACAGAGCCGAGATCAACAAGCCTGGCTGAAGGGTGGAAGGCCACTGGACAACAAGCCATGATATAGGCTCATCCCCTGTATCTGGTAACCAAACCCTAAAGCAAAACTTACCACTGTAACTGTCAACCGGGGTTTAAAGTGCAGCAGCAGTCACACTGTGGCACTGTCACAGCCTTTAGGGAACCCTCCCCAGCAGCTGTCACACCCTTTCCCACTCCAGCCTCACCACCACCACCACGCTTCCTATCTCTATGACCTGCCACTATGGAGACAGTGTGGTCTTCTGTCTGGCTTTTCCCTTAGTGAGGGCTTTAGGTTCATCATGGTCAAGGCATGTGTCCTATACCTGAGTAACATCCTTTCTATAGACAGACCACTTTCACACATGATGGACACCTGGTGTGACAGTTATTGTCAACTCAACCAGTGAGTTTCAGTGAGAGGCTGCCTAGATTGGGTTGGCCTGTGGGTATGTTTGGAAGGCATTTTCTTAATTGGGACAACTGATGTGGTTTATGACCCACTCAGAATATGAATGGCACCATCTCACAGTTTGGACAATGCAAAGGAGATCTGAGTGCACATCCCTGGCTCTCTACTTGACTATGGATGTGACTAAGTCCCTCAAGCTCCTGCCTCCATGCCTCTGCTGCCCCAGTGGACTGTAACGTGGAATTGTGAGCCAAATGAACTGTTTCTTCCTCCAGCAACAGAAAAAACTGTGGCACCAGGGGACCTCCACCTCTCACCTATTGTGATGGGAAGGTCTGGTTGGAACACAATTTCCAATTCTTTTAGAAATTCACTGAGGAATGTTACTGCTGGGATAGACATATATTGTGTTTATACTTTTGGTCTGGGCTTCATACCAGGTTCTTGAAAACCTAGAGGCAAGCACTCTACCCCTGAGCATCATCCCAGCCTGCCTGGCTGGACATTTTGTTTTACTTATTGAAGGCTTTCTTCTGCTTCCCACTTTTTCATGGGTATGGAGCAAATGAGACCTCGAAGGAGCCCTAGGGCAGTGATTTTTTTTTTTTTTAGACTTGGATTTCAGAAGATACTGATGCTATCATCACATCCTCTTCCCAAAGCAGAAAGACTTGTCAGGATCAAGGCCAATGGGTCAACTTTGTGCCAAGGTCACCTCTACCGACTACCGGCACTGGGAATCACCAGGCAATCCATCTCCGGCTAGTCTGGAGTCCTCTCCAGCTACCTCATCACACAGGCGTGCACGGCCTCCTGGTCTGTGTGGGAGATGCTCCCTCCCTGGCAGCACTGGCCCCTAGATGTTCTTCCTCATGAGCAGTCATTCTGTCCACAGGCTCCCAGGTCCCCCCACACCTAGACACCATGACTTTCTGCTTGCTTGAGCTCCAGGTGGCTGAGGCCCCAGGACCAGGGCTGAGGTAGTCTTTGCAAAAACAAGAACTGCCAAGCTCTTTATAGCACTTTACACCCCCTCCCCACTGTAAACAAACTCCAAAGAGGAAATGACAAAGTGTCATTTGTTTGTGTGCGGTTGCTGGCTGGGTTACTCATTGCTGACAGGCAGCCAGACATCAGGAAGACGACTCTGAGGTGAGACCTGCATTCAAACCAGTGTCCCTCCTTAGCTGGGTCTGACCTTCATAAAGCTGGTTACTATCGGTGTGTCACAGTCACCAAACTGACTGGAATAAAAGGTTCCGGCTGCCTCAAAGGCTTACTGTGGAGATGGGGTGAGGGAGTCCACAGAAGCACCCTGCAGCATGTTAGCTATACAAGAACCCTGGGCAGCAGGCTATGCCCTAAAGAGCACAAAGACAGGGGACACATTCCCCATTTTTAATAGATGTAGTCTGGCAAGCAAAAATCTTTCTATGAATCTAGTCCCTGTGTAGAAAGAATGCTGCAATTGATCTGAGAAAAACGAAAACCAACGGCAGGGCTGAAGCAAGATGGCTCTGTGGTCTCTGACGATTGGGGAGCCACCCCAGTGTGAACTGTGTGACAAGGTCACATTCTAGTCCTGCCATTGGGTATCCTGATGGAGATGACTGGGGCCCTGTCTGCTGGACTTAGAGGGAAGGCTTGCACAGGAAACAGGACCCTGCTCTGAGGTAAGGCAGCTCCACTCAGAGGCAGGGCTCTGGACTGCAGCTGGTGTGGTTTTGGCCACATGAAGGAAGCCCAGTGGAACGAGAGGAGCTGAAGACAAGTGAAGCGGGTGGGCTTGGTGCTCTCCTCATGTGGGTCTTCACCACAGCTCCCTCCTGCACCCTCACGTCACTTGTGTGCAGCTGTACTACAGTCATGGGTGTGTCAAGAGCAGTGGGGAGCCCGGCCAGTCCTCTGGAGGCTGCGTGTGAGCAGGAAACTCCCGAGGGTCTTGGCACCTCTCCTTAGCCGTCTGCGGAATCAGGGACCAACTTCGTTAGGGACAGCATCAAGCTTCCTCACATGTGAACAGGACCCGTTGGTGATTGCTTCAAATGAACAGCCACCCTCTGCAGGGGCTCATCTATGTGTAGCATCTTTTCTGGAACAGTTCCAGGCCTTGAGGGCAGCACGTACTTGCACGTACAGGTTAGGGTTTCTATCTGCAGCTGTGAGGCCTCCAGCATGGCCTATATGTTCTCAGGCTTCTGCGAGGCAGAAGCAGAAAGGAGGACTTCCCAGGCCCTTGCCCACTACATCAGCTCTGATGATTTGGCTAGCCGGCCTTCTTTCTGTCCACTTGCTGTGAGTCCCAGTGAAGAAATAACCCAGGAGCAGACACCGTGGAAAGGCAGGGATGCACTGCTCAACCCTCAATGCCTCAGGCCTCTGAGGCTGGCGGAGCCACCAAAGCTGCAGTTACCTCCTGCTAGACACTGTTTCTTCTGGCCTTACCCATCCGGCCATGGCTTGTGGTGGTGGTGTAGACAGAAGGAAGAGAAAGGGAGAAGGGGAGTAGACAGATTTAAACGCTGTAACCACCTTCAAGGGCCTGACCATCTACACAGCTCCAGGGTACAAGCAGCTTTCTGGCCGCCAACTGACTTTGGCATCACCTTGGGATAGCTGTCCTTTGGAAACCCCAAGAGGAAAAAGCAAGGCTCAGGAGGTGAAGCAGCATACATGCAATTACTTAGTGACCAGTGGCTAAGCCGGAGTCAACCCCACTCCACACACGGTATTCTAGTGTTTCCACTCCCCAGAGGAGGGAGGTCAGGCAGTGAGTGATGCTTCTTCCCCATGGACTTAACCCAGTCCAGATAGCATCGGCTGCCACTTCCCCCATCCTCTCTCCCAGAGCTGTGCTATGCCCACACCTGCCCCAAAGGACTGGCTTCTGCCCTCTGGGACCACCCACGTGGAACCTGAGGGTCACTGCTAACTGAGTCTTTGGTTTACCACACACGTTATATCATACATCCTGACTTGGCACCCACAGTCCGGCTTGTCAAGGGCCTCGGGAGCCTCTGTGCTCTCAGAGCCAAGTGGAGAGACTCAGTCTACACAAGAGTCCTCTACAGCACAAGTATCACCAGGGATGTTCTGGCGGAGGGGACAGTGAATGGTGCAATACACAATGTGGCAGTTTGGGGCAGCAGGTTGGGCCTGGCATCATGTGAAGGGGTACTGAGGCTCAGAGTGCTCACACTGAGGTCAGAGCATAGAGGCTCACGTACAGGGACTGTTGCCAGGAGCTCTGGTGTTGCTGGCACTGCTCTCAAAGGAAGAGTGGAAGTTGTGAATGGTTTCCTGTAGAATCTGCCTCTCACGCCCCTGTGGACAGAACAGAAGCACACACAGAAAGTCCTGTTAGATCTGAGGCCATTCATTCAACTGACTATGGTTGAGGCTCACTGCATTCTTAAAAAACTATGAGTGTTCTGAGGAAAACAACTACTTCACTGCCAGTCAAGTTCAGGACTGAGTCAGAAGCTCTCAGTACCCACAGAGGCAGCTGCTGGTGAAGGGAGACCTCAGGGTGCAAGAGTCTTGTCCCTGCATGATATACGACTGGGGCCCCCACCTGGCTGATGGGGTACCTCCTCGCTTGCCCAATATCAGGAACATAATGGGACCCCACAACAAAGCCCCAAGCCTTTCCCACCCATTCTGAAGTGGGAAAAGGTAAATGTGGCTATTTCTTCAGCCTTCAGAACAGCCTCACAGAATGCCCAAGGAGAGGCAGCAATAGACACACACAGGTTAAACGTGGATTAAAACCCAACAGCCTGGGTTCAAACGCCACCCGTCCCTTTTGCCTCTCTGCCTTTCTGGGCCTCAGTTTCCTCATCTGTAGATGGGAAAAATGTGTAGTAGCACAGCAGGTAGGACCCATCATGGGACACTGTGTGGGCAGCAGGCAGGTCCTGACTAGGAAACAGCACAGTCAGACTGTATGTTCTAAATTACGAATAGATATGGTCAAAACTTACAGCAAGTTAGAAGTGTATTATCAGTTGGGACTGTTGGTACGCCCCTTTCATTCCAGCACTCAGGAGGCAGAGGCAGGCAGATCCCTGAGTTCAAGGGCAGTCTGATCTACATAGCAAGTTCTAGGATAGCCAGGGTTAATTAGTAAGCCTGTCTAAAAAAGGTAATTATCTTTGATGCCATTGATCCAACCCACCATTACTCTCCCCCTAAGTCCCAGGACCCAAGTTCAGTCTATAGTGCCCACGTGGAGGATAAGACTGAGTCCTGCGAGTTGTTCTCTGACCTCCACATGTACTCTGTAATGTGAATAGTCTCTAATGTGAAAAGTCTCACACACACATGCACACGTGCACACACGTATGTTTACATGCATATACACTAGTGCTCAATGCTGACAAGGCTTCCAGGGAATGGGAACTCACACCCACAGCTAGCGGGACATCCATGGTACTTTCTGGAAAGAAGTTTCAGATGACACGCATGTACTGTGGCCTGGCTCTTTGAGTTGTAGACATCTATCCTGAGGACACTGGGGAGCCTTCATACAGAGCAGCGATCTGCTGCATCCACAAGTGGGTAGCCATGTACCAACAAGCAGGGATTTTAGAAAACAGTTTTAGCACACCTATGTAAATTTACGTCAGCAAGAACTCTGCAGGACACAGTAACACATGCCTGCCATCCTAGCATGCCGCAGGCTGAGGCAGGAGGACTCTGACTGAGTACAGCAAGGCTCCATGTAAAACACAAAAAACCCCAAGAGCATTCTCAGTGCCACGGATAACAGCAGAGATTCCATGCTAACCAAAGAAAATCAGATATAAAATTATGCATCCAAACTTATCTCAGTCATTTTTTTTCCCTAAGAGCCACTGGACACAAGACACTGCAGAGTAATTTGCCCCAAAGTGAACAGTGTTGGCCTCCAAGGGAGGGGAGCATGATGTTTTACAAAAAATCCTTAATCATCTTTATACTGTACAAACTTAGTTTTGTTTTTGTTTTTTAAAAAAAAAAATCACAAAAAGAAGCAAAGAGTTGGAACCCAGGAAGGGAGGGCTGTAACCAGCTTCTGCTGAGCCTTCTTGTAACACACAACCCACTGGGGATCCATGGACCTAGCAGCGAACTCAGGCTCACCCTCACTGTGGAGACCTGGCTGGCAGACAGAGGATCTGTAGCGCTTCACTAAATGGTGTCATTAGGCTGATAACACACATTTAACATGCGTTCTTTGCTCAAGGCTGGTTTGAACTTGTTAAGAAGGTAAGGATGGCCTTCAACTCCCAATTTTGCTTTTCCTGGACCAGGGTCCCTGTATCTCAGGTTGGCCTTAGACTTGTTATCTTGGTGAGGATAGCCTTGACCTCTTGATCCTCTGGCCTCCCCAGCCTGGGTGTTGGGACTACAGGCCTGCACCACCATAGGCACTGTCTTATGCAGTGCTGGGAGTCAAATGCAGGACTTCATGAACACTAGGTGAGCATTCTACCAACTGGACCACATCCTCAGCCTCACTTGAAAACAGAAAGATCTAGGGTACAATGCTGAAGCGTTGTAACAATGCTGAAGAGTAAGAGGACACGTAACAGAAAGAAATCCGTATTCCTCCCTGCAAAGCCCATTCCACTGCAGCTTTAAAAAGTGCTTCTTTAGGGAAGAGAAGATGGCTCAGCATTTAGAGTACGGGCTGCTTTCCCAGAGGACACTGCTTGAATTCCCAGTACCAGCATGTCGCTTAAAACCTTAACTCCAGTCTCAGGAATCTGATCCCCTCTTCTGGCCGCTTTGGGTACTGCATGCAAGTGATAAACACGCATACATGCTGGTCAAACACCCATATGCATAAAAATTAATTTAAAAAATAATAAAGTGCCCTTCTAGACCTACTCAGTTGATTCTATACCTCTTCCATCATGCTGTGGACCCAGGCAGCAAGAAGCATAGCCCTCTCCTTGGCATCTCAGAGATGCAGCCTGCAACATGTGTCCTCTTTACTGAGCTATGTATCAAAAAGAACAGCCTGATAATCAAAAGAAGTTCAAGCTCGGCCTCAGTGAGGAGCTGGACTCTCCAAACAGGGCCAGGCAGATTCTGCCCTGAGTAGCCAGGTCCAGCGTTGCAGGCTGGGAACTGAGAGCTGCATCCGGCCCGGGAGTTGTGCTCCAGCCACTCTGTCATGATAGCATGCAGAGCAGGGAGTGCAGCTGGGGGCTTTCATAACATTAAATGTCTCCCCATCACAGCTTCCTCTCAGACACTGTGGCACTGACCCTTACCAGTGGACTGTGCCTGGGCTGTGCCTGGGCTACAGGGCCTTCTTCCAGGACTGACTCAGGGTGATCACCTGGCATTGGGAAGGACACAAGGTGCTCTTGGCCCAGCATCTCAGGTACTCAGGGGCTTCTCCCAATGGATGTTTCAAGGAGAATCACCTAGCTGGCCCACCCTTTTGCTTGTGAAGAGCCATGCTCAGAACAGAACACAGAGCCTGTGCTAACCAGGGGGCAGGAGCCAGTCAACCTGGTACAGAACAGAAGGTCCTGTTCTGCAGTCCTGGGAAACGACCTTGGGGTATCTGTGGCTATTCCATTATCTACTCTGTTGAAGACAGTCCCCTCTACTGAGGACACCTTTCTATTTGTCGCCCTGGACCAAGGAGCCCACAACTTCACAGGGTAGAGGGTCACAGTGCCATTACCCACTGCCATCTCCCATGCCACCTCCTGTGGTGCCAGCTCCCTGCCTGTCCTTATCATCCACATTCAGAACGTTCTCTGGTTTTCTCTTCCTGAACTGATCTAAGCTGGCTTTCTTTAGCCATATGTCCACCCTTAAGGCTAGTAGGAAAGTAGAAACCCCAATCCACAGCCCCTAACACTCTGACACTTTTCAAGATCCTGCTCTCCCTCCCCTGGGTCATTCCATTGTTCCAGCCTTCGCCTGTGCCCTCTGGCTTCCCCATGCTGCTTTCCTGGCCTGGTCTATTTCTGTCTTCTGCTCCCTTACCCAGTGCCTCCCATCAGGTGTTCCCTCCCCCCCACTTCCTCAGGAAGGTTTCCACAGGCCCTGCCTATGGAGACTCCACTCTACATAGAGGACAGAGCATGTCATGCCTCCCCTCTCCCACGTGTGCATGTGGTTTAGTGATGCTCAGACCTATGGTGACACCGAGTCTAAGTTCCAATCCAGCCTCTGCCTCTTACTGGCAGTGTGACCTTGCACAGATCCTCCACCACTGTGCGTGGGGGCTGTGTGGTGTCTATGACACAGTGCTGGTCAGAGATGCTCAGCTCTCAGCCGTCACGTGACACCCAGGACAACACAGAGTCTTTGCCATGAAGAAGTCAATGTTTCGGAGCCTTCTGTGAGGGTTTGGAGGGCCAGCCAAGGGCTTCTGTTCTGGTCTGTAGCTGACACCCTTCTAACCGTGGAGACTGGTCGCCAGCCTGTGCCTCCCCAGTCTCACATCTGAGAGCAGAGCAGGAGCCTTGCTGGGCTGGAAGTCAAGGACGACCACCTGACTCTGGGCTGGGCTCCCCTGCCTACCCAATGCCCAGGTAAGACACTTTCAGAGACACTAGCAGGGTAGACCAGGACAACGCCAGCCTGCATGGTGTTCCCTCACTCACAAAGGGTCACCTAACAGAAGCAACAGCAGCCATTAGCCAAGACCTAGCGATACAAAGAGGAGGAGGGCAGAGGCCAGAAGCCCTGGGTTCAGCTCTTGCCTTAGATGCTGAACATGGAAGCCAGACAGGGTCAAGTCGAGGAGTCTCTACTCCCTTGCCAGGCAGCTGTGCCGATTCTGGCCTTATCAGGGCCAAGTAAGACATGTTTGCTGATTGACTTGCAGATGATAAAAGGCAGAATGAATACTTTTTTCCTTGGGCACTGTTCATCTGTTCAGCACTGCAGGGCACAATCCCCCAGGGCAAAGAAACCTGAAGCCTGGTCATGCTCCTGCCTCAACTCACATTGTGTAGCCAACCAGGGAAAAGCCAAACCATGAAAAAAAAGGAACAAGGAAAAGGCAGTCTATACTACCCTGACAGCAGGCTACTGCTGCACAAGTGAGAAGCTGCGCAGCAAGGATGGAGAAAAACTCTAGGTAAGAAACATCCCGGCTGCTGAGGTGCTCGACGGGAAAGGGGCAGGAGGGGCAGGGGTCTGAGCAGCCTGCCAGCAGCCAGGCAGTGTTTGCGTGCTGTGCGCCTTGGTGGGGGGAGCACTGCTGAGATTCACTTTTAAAGCTGATGAAATGTAACACCAGGCATCGATGTGGGACACGGGACAGATGATGGCCTTGTGGGTCAGGGCTCTGCCACACGGCAGCTCAGTCAACAACCCTACACCCTGTACTGAGGACAGGACAGGGAGACCCCAGAGAGGGAATGATCTGTCCTGAGACTCCTTCCACACTCAGTGCAACCCCAGGGCTCTCATCCCACAGTGTTGCCAGAGGCAATGCCCATCCCTAAGGGTTGAAACCACCCGAGGAAGTACGGAGGTAGACTGGAGAAGCCGCAACCTTGTGGAGAAAGGCACCTGCACAGGGAACAGGCTGCATGGGGAAGGCAGCAGGCTCTCAGTCACGAGGAGTGTGCGAGCAGGCCAATTCTGTTGCCAGCCGGAGGAGACTTAGAGGGACCATCATGGGGACTCTGGTGACGTTCAGCATGTGAACAACGCAGGGGGAAGCTGGAAAACTGTACCTTGCCCGCATTCAGCTCGGAGATGGCTGCCAGGATCTGCTGCCGGGAACCATCTGTCTTAATCCCCAACTCTTGCAGGTCACCGTCTGTGAGTGTGAGGAAGGCTTCCATGTCCACCTGGGGAGAGAGGGACTTGCCACTGTCTGTGGGACACCATCCCCTACTGCACATGGGCCACACAGAGGGGCCACTGAGGCTTCTATGAGAACCAGCTATGACTCACTACTTCCGAGTCTGGCTGGACACTTCAAGACTAATGGTTCATAGCCTAGCCCTGTGCTTCCCAACAGAGGCACTATGGGAATAGATGGAAGTCTTGGGGACAGGGATCTGAAGGACTCAATGTTCTGCCACTAGGAAGGGAATTCCCACGTGACTATATGTAGCAATACAGAGTGCATGGGACTGCTCACCACATGCCCCCTACAGGATGAGAGGCACACACTGCAGAAAGACAGACAAGCAGAGACAGGAGAGGAGAGAAGGGCCATGGAGAGCCAAGGCAGAGATGTGTGCAACTGTAGCCCTTGTCCTTGCAGGTGACATGCTGCCAGCTCTGATGGCCTGCCTACATGTCAAGAAGAAATGTCCCTGCTTTAGGAGAGAGGCTAACAGGCTTCCCATCTCAGGAAGTTGGGGCTGGGAGACTGTCAAAGTGGCCCAGGTGAAGACACTCTAACATCCTGCATGTGGACAGTATCAGTGTGAAACCCACCAGGGCAGGAACAGGCTCCCACACCCAACAAATCCAGTCCTATCCACCCGGCCCCGCACACACAGGCGGTGGTGATGGCGTAGGGCTTCAGAGCCACACTAGACTTTGGGGATAAGGGCACACAGCTCACGAAATAGAAGCGAGGTACACTCTGAGACATGTTCTGTGGACACCTCAACGAAGAGCAGACAGCAGCCAGGAATCAGGAAACGGCTCTTGGAAACAAGGAAAGCTCTGTGGAAGTTTCAAAGGCCAAAGAGACAGACAGGACAGGACAGGAAGAAAATCAAGGAGGAAGGCTGTGCAGACATCTGTCTCTACATCTTCCCCTGCATCTCCAGCTTGGAGTGGATGATGAGTGACAGCAGCTTTTATGTGCCAAGCTGTCACTAGAGAATCCTAAGCCAGTGATCACAGCCCAGGACTGGTGGCCTGCAGGGCATTTTATTTGGTTAATACAGTGAATTTTTAAATGTTATTGATATATAACCCACCTGCTCTATAATTCACCATATACAGCTGTGTTTAAAGTATGTAATTAAATTAGTATACTTGGTGTCAGAACTTTCCTTCTGGAGGCAAGGTCTCAAGTATCCCAGTATGACTTTGAACTTCCTTCCAGCCTCCTGAGTGCCGGGTTGTGTGTACAGCCATATTTGTTTTGACCAGTGTTAGAAATTGAACCTAGGACTTGGGGCATTGCTTGGAAATTGTCTGTCACCAGAACTACCGCCTACCCTCCACCCCTAGCCCCAGCCTAGTTTTAGAACATTTTCATCCCCTACAAGGAACAGCAATCCTCAGCGGCCTGAGTGCTAAGATGACAGGCATGAGCCACCATGCCCAGCTGAACTTTGATTTTTGAGTAGTACAGAACATTAACTCAGATGACCAATGACACTGTTCCTAGCTATCTCTCAGATTTACATATGGCTTGTGTACAACCCATGCAACAAAACTGTTTGCAATACAGGGAAGTGCTCACAGCTACAGACTTCATAGCAAGGGAGAACCCTCAGGCCCTGTGCCACTGGGAGGGACTCAGATGCAGGTGGACAGGTGGACAGAGGGCTGTTACATGTGAAAGCCCTTGCTTTAATGGATGGCACTATGGAACAACATTCTTACCTCTTGTTCCTCGAAGATGGGCTGGTATTTCTCAAGCGATAACTTCTTAAGGATTCCAGTCAGCTCATCTTCGTAAGAAAGAGATGGGATTTTTAAAAAATGCATTTTGGCTTTGGTAAAACATAGAAAGAGCGGGTGGGTGGGTCCTACACTTCTCTAAGATGTGGTTATGTAGTAAAATTCTCCCAAGAGACCCCGAGCCAGAAAGATATGTTGGCTGACCCCCAATGGCTGAGGCTACGTGTGCTCAGCCAGACCCTTCCCCTAGGGCAAGCCCTCAGCTATCCAGAAAGCCCAGATCAGTCTGAAGAGGCCTGGACTGATGGTCCTGGGGTGGCAGGAAGTAGATTCTGGAAGTTCCAGCTACTGGGAATAAAACCCTCCTGTGCAAGAGCGTACACGCAATGCCATGGCTAAGGCCGGAAGTCCTCAGTTGGTCTGAGAATGACACAGAACAGGCAGGCACTGCAGACAAGGCTCAAATGCATGTAGCCCATGGCCTCCTCAGTGCAGCCAGAAGGAGCCAGATGAGGGTACGGAGGTGGGCGTCCAAACATTAGGACAAGGAGAGGACATGAAGCAATGTCTGGGACTAGAAGAAATGCCAGGTCATGCTCAACAGGGACACACCAGACTAGACACCAAACAGAGGACACACAGGTTGACAGCCAAAGCAGAAAGGGTGGAACGAGATGCTGATCAACAGAGGGTGACTAGGGTATCCCTGAGACATCTGACAGTAAACGAAGGAATAACCTCTGCAGATATCTAAGGGCCAGGCATGAGGCAGCATTCGGGGAGCGTGAGCAGCAGGTGCAAAGGTCCTGAGGTGGTGAAGTAAGTTCTAAGAAGATAGTGGAGACTGGGTTTCTTCCTACACTCCCTCAGCAGTGAGTACTGGTGTGGCTACTGCACGCTGAGAATTCATGAGTAGGCAGGACCCTGTGACCTGGACCCCTGGGGTATTTGTCAAGACTCACTGAGAAAGAACATAGTTAGTGCTCCTTCTGCTGGCTGGCAAAGTCAGCACAAAGATGAAAGACGCCCAAAGCTGTTGGCTAGTAGAAAAGCCCTACCAAGATCTGCAGAAAATGTTTCTGAAGGCCCTGGATCCACACACACCTGAAGCTTGATCCAAACATCCATCTTATGAGCCAATTAATTTCTTTTTTAAGCTGGTTTGAATACAACCCCCTTTACCAGAACTGTAAGGAGGCTGACCTGTGCAGTGCACAGGGAGAGGGAGCAAGTGGGTTGGGATAGGCCTTCCACAGGTGTCTGCCAATCAGCAGAACAGCCTACACTCAAATCTCACTTGAGTGTGCTTACGTCCAGGGAAGGGATGTGTGCCATTGGCTGGTACCATGAGGCTCTATGCTGCCAGGTCACCGTGGTGGAGGAACAGGCAGGGATTTGGGACCCCTGGGGACTCACCCTCATCGGTGATGGTGCCACTGCTGGAGCCCCCACTGCTCTTAGACTGCCGGTGAGATGAGGAGGAGGACACCGAGGACTCTGCAGTGTGGCCCTTGGGAGACGGGGAGGGCGTGAGGGTGGGGGAGGTGCTTTTAGAGGTAGCAGAAGCTCCAGAGGGAGGGCGTTTGCTGGGGTCCAGTTTCTGCATAGGGCATAAAACAAAAACTGAAGTCATCAGCCGGTGCGGGAGGGGCTGAGGATGGGTGCTGTATCTTGGGACACATCGATGCCTAGTCAGCTGCACATCTAGCCGGGACTGTGATGCTGTGTCAGAGATTCAGACGCAAAGCAGCACGGACGGATGGATGGCCAGGAAGCCTGGGCTTGGGTGCCATTCTGTTGCTGCCACGAGGTGTAAGGTTCACACTTAAACAATACTGAGCCTCCCATGTCTCCACAGAATTGAGCTTCTTGGATTTACCAGTGTTCCAGTTTTCAACCTACAGATTCTACACGTTTTACTAAATTTAAACACATTTCATTTTCATATAATCTTATGTAAATGGTATTTATGAAATGTCAAATTAAAAATTCTAATTGTTGGGGCTGGAGAGATAGCTCGGTGGTTAAGAGCACTTGTTGCTCTTGCAGAGGACCCAGGTTCAGTTCCCAGCACCCACATGGCAGCTCAGAACCATCACTAACCCCAGTGTCCCAGTATCTTTTCTGACTTCTGGGCGCCTGTAAACACACATGGTATAGATACACAGTTGGACACAAAATGCTCATATACACACAATAAAGCTAACTTTAAAAAACCTCTAATTCTTTGCTGCTGGTATAAAGAGATTCAGCTGACCTCATACACTGACCGCGTATTATTCTCTGAGTGACAGCTTACCCCGTGGCCTATTTTGACCTTGCTAAACTAGTTTATTACCCACGAGCATCTGCAGATTCCTTATGGTTTTCTTACGGTTTTCCTTATGGACAGGCATGCTGTCTAAGGGCAGAGCTAGGTTTCTTCCCTTTGTGCCACTGACTTAGTCTCTAGCACAGGCTGTAAGCTGTAAGCACCTTCTGTATAACAGCATCCTGCTTCTCCATCAGGGGAGCGCGTGGTCTTTACCAGCAACCATGATCCTGCTATACTTATTTTATACCTGATTCAGGAAATTCCCTCTATAGCTGCTTTGTGTTTTAGCTTCTGTGCACCACACACATGCTAGGTTTCCTCGAAAGCCAGAAGAGGGCATCAGATCCCCTGGGTCTGCAGTTACAGATGTTGTCAGTCACCACGTGGGTGCTGAGAATCAAACCTGGGTCCTCTGGGAGGACCACCGAGTCATCTCTCCAGCTCCTGGATTCTGAATGTTATTTGCTTTTTCTTCATTTCTTCTTTCATTTGTTATATGGTGTGCCATAGTCACTGATTTTCTAATGCTGAATCTAACTTGCATAATGAACCCATCGGTTGGAAGAGGTTTAATTTACATCCGTCACTGGACTTGACTGTGTGGAAGATTCCATACTTAATGAGGACTACCAGTGCTACATTCTTTCTTGCAGTATCATAAAAGTCCACCTTGCTCCCAATTTTAGAGGATAGAGAAACCATATAGCAAAATAAAGGGTCATTAAGATACAATAATCACCAAGCACGGTGCTGCACATCTTTAATTTTAGTACTGGGGAGGCAGAGGCAGAAGGATCTCTGTGAGTTTGAGGCCAGCCCGGTCTATATAGTGAGCTCCTGCCTCAAAACAAACAAACAAAACCCTGTGACAGTCCCAAACATGTGTGTAACTTTAAGTGAGGAGGAAAGTGACAAACCTGGAAAGAGAAGTTACCTGGCCCTCTTACAGTTACAGATGTTACCACCTCTAAGTGACTGGTAGAGTTGGCGAATCAAGATGGACCACACCACCCGCCAACCATACCAGAGTGACATTCCCAGAGCCTCACTCCAAAGGCAGCAAGAGAACACATGCTTTTCTTAAGTGACGATGGGATGCTCACACTCAAGGGCATAAAACAGACCTTGACACACTTACAGGAGGGAAACAGAACTTCTACAGCAGAGGCAAGTCTCAGTAATAGGACGTTTCCTGGAAAAACCTCAAATGACTGAAAAAATTAAAACAAAAACAACTAGCCATGGGTCAGGAAAGCAGCTCAGATTCGGCTGCTGATCAAAGGTTCACAGCTGAGCCCATTTGAGCCCCAGCTTTGGGGTGGAGAGGGGAGCTGAACTCTCCTACAGAGATGCGGAGGTGGCTCCTCGCTTCCACTCACCCTTTCTGCCTTCCCAATGGTTCAGGCTTCCACGACCGGTGAACAAGTCAGAAGCCACCCCATGCACACCTCACCATAGCAGTGAGCTTCCTGCTTTAAAACAAAGGACAAAAGCCAGATCTAGGAGACTCCAGTTTTGAAGGCTAATTTCTATTCTTCCTAAGGGATCCGATGAAAAGCACTTCATATCTTACTGCTAGAGCACACAACAGAGAGCCCTTCAGTGTCCTCTGAGTGAGGCAGTGGGGCCGCAGGAAGGCATGGAGAGTTATCGTACACCAAGCATCAGGAGACCTTGGAACTGGATCATTCTCCACCGACTGTCTCTGGGACATATCTTTCGGCAGCTAACTTCTTTTCATCAGGATATACTTGTATGTTGTTACAGTTGACACGTGCAGCCCAGTGTGGTAACAGTTCACAGCTTACATGCCTGTTTCCAACGTCAGCGACAGGACGCTAAATGATACTTAACACAGTTAATGAAGCCATCAGAATAGAAGAGGACATTTTAGACAACAGAGGAGCAAGCTATTCCAAAAGCCCTCAGCTAGTAGACTTGTTTTAAGGAGGAGCTGTGAGTGGCCAAGCAGAAACCGTGAAAAGAGAAATGCACCAATTACATAACTTTTTACATCTTACAAAGAAAATGCATCAAGATACCGGAGGAGTCTATAGCTGAACTCTAAAATAAACTTAATTATACAGGTCCTTCACATAAATAATCCTGAACATAACAGAAATAAACTCATGCGTTGGGGAGAAACTTCTGGAACTAAATTATAAAAGGAACTTAAATTATGAGGTTTCTCTGTGCAAGAGAGTTGGGGTAAGAAAGTGGTGGAGCCACAGTAGCTGGGCAGAAACAGACGGTTTCTCACACATCTGCTAAGACGCAAACCTAGAGACCTAGGACTGAGGAGAGGAATAGCTCAGCCAGCTCTGGTTTAATCCAGCAGGCTGCCCATCCCCGGGGTTAGCCCTCTGCTCTCAATAGAGAACAGTACAGACACACGCAAGCGTGCACCAGAGCCCCTTCAGCAACCTCCCCACCCCTGACCCAGAGAAGAGGTGGGTGAACACGGGCCTACAGGGTCAGAGTCAGACCTCTGCAGGAAGTTAGGAGAGGCCATGGCTGCAATGCCAGTGAAGCACTCCCCCACCCTTGACACCCCAACTCTACATGTGTGTCACAGGAAAACATTCTACGGATGTCACAGGCATCCAGAGAACAAGCACCTTGCTGCTGGAAGTGCCACTGGAAGAACCACTACCACTGCCCAGGAGGGAGGCTGGGAGATCAGGCGGGCTGGAACCAGTCGCTGGCCCCATGGGACTGGACTGCTGGCGGGGCTTCTGCTCACACAAGCCAGCTGCTTTTTTCCGCTGAGCAGCGATCTGGGACAGGACACTGTCTACACTGCCACCTGGGGAGACAAGAGACAGGAGTGAGCACTGTGGCAAGTCCTTCCTGCCTCGTGGTAGACTGTGAGGTGTCTCAAGAAGGCTTGTAAGAATTCTACACAAGGGCCCAAAGGGGCTGAGGGAGGGCTGAGTGCCGGGCGGGCAAGAGCTGGCTTTTCTTCACTCCCTCAGGGCCAGCACATGTAAATCCCTAATGCCTCAGAACTCTGTGAGCACTGAGCGATAAACTTCTAACTGCACCCTAACTGCCATGTTTCCTCTCAGCTTCTCTGTGTATACTGTAACCTGCAGAGGGGTCGGGACGGACACATGGAGACATATACACGAGCAGGCAGACACACACGGACACATATATACATGGATGAGCAGACACACATGGACACACATGGACACACACACACAAGCATGCATTTAGTTCCTGGGGCTGTTCCCAGGAAGCCACTGGCAATGGTATTCAGGGAGCAAAACAGTCAGAAACTGCCTGGAGGTGAGCCTGCCAGCACTTCACCCGGAACCGGAAGACGGGATGTACCGACTAGTTGGATGCGGTGGTGCAGATTAAGTACTGGGGAGGATTGAGGCATGAGAACTGCAAGTTCAAGGCCTGCCTGAGCAACTTTGTGATAGCCAATCTCAATAAAAAGTGCAAAGTAAGGAGGGCTATGACTCCACGCTATCGAGCTCATGAGTGACAAACCTCACTAACTGTTGTTGGAGGTGGGGTTTTGTTTTACATTTTTTGTTTTGTTTTGTTTTTTGTTTTCAAGATAGGGTTCCTCTGTGTAATCCTGACTGTCCTAGCACTCTGTAAATCAGGCTGTCCTCAAACTCAGAGATCAGCCTGCCCCTGCCCCTGCCCCTGCCTCTGCCTCCCAAGTGCTGGGATAAAGGCATGCACCACCATCACCCCACTACACTTATGTGCTTTAAAAGGCAAATAGCTGACTCAGCCGTGGAGCCCAGCTACAGAGATCACTGAGCAAGCCTAAAAATATCACCTGAGGGGCAGCAAGAGACTCACTGGCAATCCAAATGACCTGAGGGGAATCCCTGGGACCCACAGTAGGAAGGTGAGAACTGACTCCTACAAATTGTCCTCTGACCTCCAGCTTGCTGGGTAAGTCTGGGCACATCTCTTTCCTGAGGCTTAGCCTTCAATACATCTGTGCATCATGAAAACCCTTTGCATCTTTCTCCATTTCTTATAACATTTTATAAGAAAAGCATTATGGATTTGACCTCTTCCTTCTCCACACAGCTTCATCTCGGGAAAATGAGTAAAGGCAACCCTGAATTGACAGCTCATTAAAAACATCCCCAGCGGCACCACGAAGTGGATGGCGTGCAGCCGTTTCTGGTGTTTCATGTGGATGGAGCAGGAGATGGGAGGCACACCGGCCAGGGACATCCCATTTCCCGGTGGCCTGTGACTGCTCACCTGAGCGGCTATGCAGCTCTCCACCCAGCCGACTCATGCTGCCAACGCCACTGGCACCCCCTGAAGAATGAGGCGAGTGGTTGAAGCTCCCAGAGCTGGCAGGGGATGTAGGGCTTCTGGAGATGCTGGGGAATTTGACTGGCCTGCCAGCAGCCTGTGAGGACAAGGTGAACCAGACAGTTAGGATAGGGCCCTTCTTCCTGACCACCCAGCACAGTGGCACAGTGGCCCATCTCACTGAGCCCAGGGTCCCATGGCAAAGAGATTAATCCTATCTGCTAACAACCCACTAACTCAGGCTGGGCCACAGAGCACCATCCCAACACTGGCTGCTTGACTTCAGTCTTGTAAGTCAGAGTGCCCTCCAGGAAGTGCTAAGGAAGCCCCTCACTGAAAGCTGGGGGAATCCACAATGTATCCAAGGCAAGGCATACCTGGGGTCTAGCCTCTGTCATGCCATCTCTGCTGCTCAGCCTGAAACATGTCCTGTGATTCCAGTCTAGCTCAGTTCTACCAGGTGCCAGTGTTCGTTCCCACCAGGAGAACCTGCTCCACACTGTGCCAAAACTCTCTGGGCTCCTGGGCAGTCGCTCTGTGCCCCCAGGCCCTTCACTAACTATCTTTCTCACTCTTTATTGTGATGCCTTGTCCTTTGGTCTCAAAGGCATGTATCTTTGCCAAGATAGCCTAGGCTTGGTTCCCTGTCATGCTACCGTCCCTATCCCAGAAACCTGGACATCCATTTAGCCAGACCACAGACTGTGCATGCAAGCTCGCTCTAACCTCTGACTCTGTTGATCCTCAGAGACCTGCCTCTCTATGCACTGTCCTCAGTCCTGGCCTGAGCATACTGGATGCACTCAAAGGAACAAAGGTCACAATGAGCTGGATGGTGGCCTCAGAAGGCAAGTTAGTGTCCTCATCTCTAGAACCTGTGAATACTGACAAGTGCCACCGTCTCAGAAATACTTATCAATGCTGTGCCTGTGCTAAGAACTTAAGGGTGCAGAAACATGTGGCTGGAAAGATGGCTCAGAGGTTAGAAGCATTTGCTGCTCTTTCAGGGGACCCTGGTTTGACTCCCAACACCCACATGGCTGCTCACAACGGCCTGCAATTCTGGTTCCAGAGGATCTGATGTTCTCTTCTGGCCTCTGCAAACATTGCACACATGTGCAGGTAAAACACTCATAAACATATAGTAAAAATAAAATCCTTTAAGAGAAGGCAGGCAGGCAGGAAGGAAGGAAGGAAGGAAGGAAGGAAGGAAGGAAGGAAGGAAGGAAG